CAATTGTTACATCTTCGTGATGAATTGACCCATTTTTCATTATATCCTTTGTCTTTCTTCTTATAGTTTTTAACTTAAAGTCTATTTTGTCTGATATCAATGTAGCTACCCTCGCTCTTTTGGTTTCCATTTGCATGGAATTGCTTTTCCATCTCTTCACATTGAGTCTGTGTGTGTCCTTAAGGCTGAAATGAGTCTCTAACAGGCATAGTGGGGGTCATATTTTTTATCCATTTAGCACTATGTTCTTTGGAGAATAGAATTCATTTGCATTTAAAGTAATTATTGATAGGTAAGAACTTATAATGCTATTTTATTGTTTTCTCATTGTTTTAAAGTTCCCTTGTTGCTTTCTTCCTTTCTTGCTGTCTTCCTTTGTGAAATGAAATTTTCCAAAGTGGTATACCTTGATTCCCTTTTTATCTTTCATGTTATCTATTGTAGGTTTTACTTTGTGGTTACCATGAGGCTTACATAAAATATCTTACTGATATAACAGTACATTTTACATTTGTAACAACTTTAATCATATACAAATACTCCACCCTCCACCCCAACATTTTAGGGTTTTGATATAAAAATTTAACTTTTTATATTGCATATTCATTATCGCTATAGTTATTTTTAATACCTTTATCTTTTAACCTTTATACTAGAATTAACACACCATCATATTACAGTATTAGAGTATTATGATTTTGGCTACATACTTACCTTCTTCAGTGTTTTATATCTTCATGTTTTTCATTTTACTAGCTAGTATTCTTTCATCTCAGATTGAAGAACACCCTTCAGCATTTTTAGTAAGGTTTGATGATGATTAATTCCCTTATTTGGGAATATCTTTCTCTCTCCTTCATTTCTGAAGGACAACTTTACTGAATAAAGTATTCTTGGTTGGTTTTTTCTTCAGCACTTTGAGTATATCATCCCACTCTCTTCCGGCCTGCAAGATTTCCGCTGAGAAATCTGCTAACAGACTTCAAGGATTCCCTTGTCATGTGATTTTTTTTTCTCTTGCTGCTTTCAAAACGGTCTTTTATTTTAGACAGTTTTATTATAATGTGTCTTGGAAAGAATCGCTTTGGGTTGAAATCTTGGGGAAAATTATAAATTTTATGAACTTAGATGTCCAAATCTCTCTCCAAATTTGGGAAATTCTCATTCATTAGGTCTCTAACCATTCAACCCATTTCGCCCTCTCTTCTCCTTCTGATATACCAATAAATGCATAGATTATTTTTATGGTATACCATGGTTCATGTAGGCTTTCTTCACGCTTTTTAATTTTTTTGTTTTCAGACTAGATGTTAAATAATCTGTCTTCTACTTCATAATAATTTTTTCTGCTTGATCCAGTCTGCTGTTGATGATTTCCATTGCATTTGCTTTCCTAAGGTGGTGATGACTGCTCAAGCATGTGGTTTCTCCCAATCCCACGGAATCCAGTTTCTACGCATGCTCACTGGCCATCTGCAAAGACTCATTCTGACCATTCTTGCCCTCAGGGGCATGCATAAGAAGGCAGTCACTGGGTATGGGTGTGTCTGAGTGAGCTGCACAGAGCTTGGTGGTAGCCATAGGCCAGCTGAAGTGATCAGTACAGGAGACAACCTCAGTGGCTCATGAGTAATTTCCTGATAGAGTTCCCAAAGCAGTTAATAAAATGTGTGTTCCTTTGATATGTTCCATTCCCAGCCTTAGCTGTTGTTCTCCCAGCATGACTGTCTACCCCCAAGTCGTATAGCTCACAACGCAATATTCTGGATGGAGTGAGAAAGAAATGGGTTTTGGGAGTATCTCACACAGCTGGGGAATCCAGCACCTGCTCTCAATTTCCCACATGGAGAAAATCATGGGCAGAGAAGTCTCTATTGGCATTGAGCTGTGCTGTCTTGGGGAAAAGGTGACACAGGTAAAGTAAAACAGCTCCATTTATTGTCTTCAATAGATCCAATCTTGGATGGTTTTTCCTCCAAGTATGCTGAAACCTCTCTGATGGACCGCTGGACTCCCACAAAGGCACTCTCGTCCATGAGTGATTGTCTAAATCACTGTTCTTTGAGGGTAGGATAGTAAACTTCATCCTGAAACTTCTGAAAACAACTCTCATTAATTCTTTCTTTTGCCAGTTGAAATTTACTGCTGAGCCCCTCTAGTGAATTCTCCGTTTCAGCTACTGTGCTTTTCCACTTTGGAATTTCCATTTGGTTCCTTTTTTTGTAATTTCTATCTTCTTAATGATATTCTCTATTTGATATGACTTTGTCATCATACTTTATTTTTTTAAGCATTTCTTTTAGTTCATTGAACTTAATGGCTACTTTGAAGAATCTATGTATTAAATCCAATCTCATAACCAGTATCTGCTGCCTGCCTTTTTTTTTTAAATGACATATGGGTTATTTTTTCATGTTTCTTTGCATGTTTCACAATTTTGCGTTGGAAACTTGATATTTTAGATAGTATGTTGTCCTAATTCACAGTACTGGTCTCCCCACTCTGGGACTTGTTATTTTTTATGCTCGCTTGTTCATTTGGTAGCTAGATAGCTTATTTTCGTAAATTCTATGCCCCTAATTCCCATAGGGTTAAGCCTCCGACTTGCTCCCCTTGCCTACAGTCATCCTGAGAGGAGAGCAATTTTGGAAGAGTGCTTGGTCTCTTTCTCTGACCACACCTAGATGTTAAACTCCACTAAATATGGCCAATTGCTTTACAGTTTTCACCAATGAACTTCGGTATAAACTACTCCACAGAATAAACTAACCAAATTGACATTACTTTGAAGGGAGAGTTTCAGAGGTCCATGTTTGAGATTTGTTCTGACATTAAGAGTCAGTCTCCTAGTAAGCCTATACTTAAATCTGTATGTTCAATCAATCTACCAATCTCCTCTCAAATTACCTTTCACCACAAGCTCTACTGTTTTTGAGAGTACCCTTAGGCTTGAACTTCTCTACACTCTGCTGTAGTCAGTTTCTCTGGGAAGGGATTAGGAGCTGTTTTTTTTTTAAAGATTTTATTTATTTATTTGAGACAGAGAGAATGAGAGACAGAGAGCATGAGAGGGAGGAGGGTCAGAGGGAGAAGAAGCAGACTCCCTGCCGAGCAGGGAACCCGATGCGGGACTCGATCCCGGGACTCCAGGATCATGACCTGAGCTGAAGGCAGTCGCTTAACCAACTGAGCCACCCAGGTGCCCCTAGGAGCTGTTTTATGACCCCCTTCTCACTACAGGGAAAATCTGTGAGCCATAGCTGTGAAGTTGGGAGATGGACAATAGCATGCTTTACTTTGAGTGACATCCCATCTTTAGAAGCTGAGTACTTAGTGGTTGTAGGTGATGTAGAAGTCTCAGGTCTTCCTGGTTTGTCTGTAGTGGTGTGGAACCACTACTTTAGAGGCTAGGGCAATTGGACTCTCTGTAGTCTAAGCAGCACTGTGCCCAAAGTAGAGCCTCCATCCCAAGAATGAGGACTGGGCAAAAAAAGGGAGCCCCCATCTCTGAGTCACACTTGGCTAGCAAAACGTAGCTGGAGGCAGGATGACAAATGCAATTGCCCTGCTATTTCCTGGAAGATAGCCCTCCAAGTGCGGGCGGGGGTAGAAATCCTGTCTTCTTGATTGCACTGATATGGAGTTACCATCTTGCCCAGCTGGGATAGGTCCGGGAAGCAATGGGTCTTGGTGCAAATACCACAGATTCTTTACCAAATTTTAGTAAATTTCCTTGAATAAATGTTTCTTTACTTGCTATATATCCTTTAGAACATTTCCAAAGACTGTAAATGGTTGTTTTTGTTTTTTAATAATTGTCACCAATTTTGCTAAGGAGTAGGTCCACAGAGCTCCTTATGCTGCCATGCTGGAAGTCTCTTTCAGCCATTGAGCTTTTTAAAATGTAAATCAGATCATTTCCCCCTTGAAAACTCTCCAAAAATTCCCTTCACATTTATAACACAGTCCAAGTTTCTCCTAAGCTCTACAAAGATCTACACGATGCAGCCTCTGCCAACCACTGGCTATCATTCTTTACCACGTTTTATGTACTTTATTTACTCTGCTCTAATCTCTGTCGTAACAAGGGTGGTCCTCTTCAGGGTCTATCTTCTATTCCCTTTAAAAAGCTCTCTTCCTAGATTTCTCCATGGCCTCCTTCCCCATTTCATTCAGGTCTCTGCACAAATGTCATTTCAAGATATTTTCTAAAATAGTACCTGCCCTCCATTCTTTATCCATGTATCCCACTCTGATTTTCTTTACAGCACCTAAATTTACTTAACATATTCATTTTGTTACATGCTTAAAGTCTGTTTCCCCCATTGGAATAACAACTCTAAGAGGGTAGGGGATTTTGCAATCTTCTTCACCTCTGTATCCCCAGTATTTAGTACTTGGCACACAGTCAATACTCAATAAATACTTGTTGAATGAATAAACATAAACAAGAACTGAAATATTTTTAAAGCTATTTACATCTTAAATGACATTAACAGAATATTTTTATTTATATCCATAAAGAGAATGATTAACAGAGTATGGGAAAAATAGTTGTTCATTTGGCTTAGGAAATATAAACAAAGTGGCCAATATCCAAGTATTTAATATTCAGTTTCAGTAATCCTAAAACTTATTTTTATAAATAGCACTGCTGACCTGCCCTTGCCTTTACACTACATATACCAGACACAAAAGAAATAATCATCTCTAATTTAATGGGAAAATAAAAACAATACTAAAATGATATAAATACACTACGACCACTAGTTTTGACAATTGGGGTATTAAAAGATTTAGAAGCTAATCAATTTGAAATCCTTAATCAAATACAAATTTGTCACTGTCACTAATTATAAATAAAAGTCTTTAGCATTAAAAAAGTTAGAATATTACTTCCATTTTTTCATTTTCACTCCATATACCTTCCTATCATAGGCCAAGTTTTGCAATGAGCTTAGCAAGGCTAAGCAAAAGAATCTTAGGTTATGGAGTTTTACCTTGAGTCCTGTCTTCTCGTCATCACTTCCATTATTTGTAGATGGTGTCTCATCTCCTTGCCTGGAAACCAAGACAAAATCTTCACTATTAAGAGTAGATACTGAGTCTGAGGAGACACTGATTTTTCCAACAGAAGCCTTGTCATCCATGACTCAAGAATGAAGCTCAACTCATGAATGATTAAATATTTTAAAAATGCCTGAAAAACAAAAACCATAAAGATACTCATATAGAATGTCTGCCAGATATTCAGTTATGCTCTAATTCTTACAAAATACATATGGAAAAACTTAAAAAAATACTTTCAAAATCTTTTCCCAAGACTTTCACTACTTACAACTTTTTATTCCAGATAATGAAGGAATTTGATGCTATTCAGGGCCAGGGTATTTCAGATTAAAAACAAAACAAAACAAAACAATAAAACAGATTCCCTTGAGAATAACTGCCTACCTACAGTGATTTCTTTGGCATATGTTACAACTCTGTTCTTGGACTTCAAAAACTATGAAGTACTAAACTTCTGTTTTCTACCCTTTAATTTGTAAAGCTGTACACATAAATGAAATTGAAAGCACACAAGACAATAAGGTTTTTCTGATGTTACTGATATTTAAATTTAAAATATTAACAAGATGCTTTTAAGAAATAAAATTTCATAGTCACACTCAAGAGAAATAAATTCAAGGCAGAGCAAGCAGAAATTCTAGAGCTGGGAAATACCTTACATAGCAAGAAATCAGAAATCCATTAAAAACTCAATCTTCCCATCCCATGGTTTCTTAAGAGTTCAACTCAACATGAACATTACCAGTAAGTTTCATGCCAAAAATTCCCAGCAAGAAGTATAAAAATACGTCACTTATGCACTCAAATATTTATTGACTCCTGGAATAAAACTTAAACTCATCTACCATTTAAAAACCTGGGTCTGAATACTTTATGGCAATGTTCCCATTTGGTTGCCAGAACAGCAAGAGAACAAACAATGCAACATACTCAGAAAGCTTTAACCAATAAACAGTAGCAGTTCTAGCTCTCTGCTCATCTTGTACCTCAGAGGTAAAGGTGCTGAGAGCCTATTTAATCTCTCCAATTAACAAGTCCTGATTTATGCTTTGTGTTTTTAACTGAACATATATTTATTGAGCATATACCATGTGCCAAGCACTATTTTCCCTTCAAAGGCTCACAACCAGATAAACACCTGGCAGCAGGAATTAAACAATCCCTCAGTATTACAGTTCAAAAGAAACTTAGAAATAATCAATACTGTTAAACAGATAAGAAAATGGCAACCCCAAAAGAAGGTAATTTACCCAGGCATAACTAAGGATGGAATCCTTACTAATACTACTTACTTCTATTTAAACTAATTTCCTTGCTTAAATGGCTATCACAGCTTTACATTTCATAGGACTAAATTTAAATGTATAGTGTGGCATTCAAAGACACTTCAAAATGTACTTCTTGAAAACTTTTTTTTAATGTAGTTTTGCTTCATCCATTCAATGAATACTCACCAAGTGTCTAGTGTATAAAGAATAATACATGGTAAGCAAGAGAAATTAAGATTCTTGCCCCAAAGGAATGTATACTGTAGCAGAGAACAGAAGTGCATTGAACAGATTAATAGGTACTGATTTAGGGTAAAGAAAACTATGGGAACATGTTGCGAGAGGGATTTAGACATGGAGAGTTAAGGAATATATTCACCTGAAACTAGGAGGATATTGTATGACAATTATACATCAATATAAAAAAAGAGAAACATATTAGAAGAGGTAATGTCCTTACTAAAGATATATACTTTAATACATCCATGTATTTGCCCTCATTGGATCCTCCTTCTAAAGTGGTTTTCTTGGTTTTGTACTCCATTAACTCCAACTCATCATTCATGATCTAACTCTCCTTTTCCTAGTAGCTTGCCGATCTTCATCCCAGAACCAAATAAAAGTGCTTGCCTTATTTCTACTCCTATAGCATTTTACATTTTTATAGTACTATTGTGATGTATTACAATTTGATGGCGACTGCCTCTTAATCTATTCATATTATTTATTACATAGATAAGGAAATTGAGACCTAGACAGATGGTGTAACTTGTTCAAGGTAATGGCTGTAATGTAAATGGTTAGAGGCAACGGCAAAAACTGAACCCAGTTATCTATTATTCCAGAAGCTATGCTCTTTCTGTCAGATTATGATACCTTTCCAATGCCACAAATCTGGGCCTTGTCCCAAAACCCTCAGTATTGGGTTTTGGAGAACTAGTATTTTAGGCAAGGTTTTTCATGCTTAATTAGATTTCCATTCTTTTAAATTGTGATTAATAGGATAGCAAAGTGCCTCGGAAAGTTCTCTAAAGCTATGATCTGAGACACTGACTGCTTTCTATAGTACTCTGGACTCAAAAAATAATATACTTTGGTATTTAAACACTATGAAACTGAGAAGACTTGTCCGACGCAAAGTTCAACCTATTTCTTTTGAGATGACAGGAAAATACAATTTATAAAATACTATTTGTTTTGGCACCTGTAAAAAACTGAATCACTCAGTGGGAATGAGGTTTATCAAAACATGAAGTAGTACAGGAAAAGTTATACAAGATTCCCCTTCTCTGGCCTCCACGATAAAGAGGTGTCCCAGAACTTGGTGTACTCCTGGCAAAACTGTATTCATAATCTCTCTCTTGAGACCACAAGGGGTAATTGTTTTGTTTTTAATCCCTACTTACATCATTTACCACAAGAAGCCTCCTACTGTAATCCTTCATCCTTCAGACTGCAATTCTAGATCTAAACCTCATGGATAATAGAGAACAAGCTTCTTCCCCCAAATATCCTGCACTACCATCTCTCTTCCTACTTTTCCCCATAATATCCATCACCATTTGACACACTTTATGTTTTAATCATTTGTTTTTAAATATCATGTAAGCTAGAATCTAAGTTCCACCAGGGTAGAGATTGGTGTCTGTTTCATTAACTGCTGTACCTTATCACCTGGAACAATGCCTGGCACATAGTAGGTGCTCAAATATTTGCTAAAAAAATAGGATAAATGGCAAATAAAGATGGAAAAGAGCAAGAGGCACCCAATGAAAAGATCTTTTACTGACTGACAGTAAGAACAGAAGTCATATCTGTAATGGTAAAGCACACAATTAAGAGGAAAAACCCAAGTTAGAACACTGGTTGCACTACCTAATAGTGTGAGCTTTGTCATAATAAGTCTTAGTTTCCATAAGTGAAAATGATGTACTATCTACCTCACAAAACTATTATAAAAATTACTAAGGAACACATGTACATCTCATTTAATAACAATCATAAAACATTGTAAGCACCCAATAGTTATAGTTTTTTAAGCTAACTTCCAATTTTAAAAGAATTAACTATCAGGGCACCTGGGTGGCTCAGTCAGTTAAGCATCTGCCTTCAGCTCAGGTCATGATTTCAGGGTCCTGGGATCGAGCCCTGTGTCAGGCTCCCTGCTCAGCAAGGAGTCTGCTTCTCCTTCTCTCTTTGCCCCTCTCCCCTCTCGTGCTGTCTCAAAAAGTTCAATAAAATCTTAAAAAAATAATAAAAATAATAAAAATTAACACGTATCAACTGATTTTGGTAATTCAGTTTAGGAAACACAATACTAGGACAAAAATATATAGCTTTCCTATTTTCCACATTCTAATTTCTTTATATCTAAATAAACGTGAAGGAATACTCTGAATAAAAAAATGTTTTATCTTGTATAATACTTTACAGATTACTAAAACATACACATTCTTTATCTCATTTTATCATCCTAACAATTCTATAAGGTAGACAGAGTAAGGATGTTTATCCCATTTTAATAAGATAATATACATATATGCACCCTGGTATTGGTAGGCACCAATTACTTCCTTCTTTTATACAAGTGACGACATAGACCCTAGCATGTCTAGTTACCAACAGGGCCAGATTGGTGAGTCAAGTTCAAGGATGTTTCCTTCTCTGTCTCCTTTAATAAGTCAATAAGTCACTTTTGTTTAATTATGCAGCCTCCTGCATCAAACCCAAAAGTTCAGTTGTTATATTTTTCATAACTTCTTTCATTACTTTTATCCTTATTGAGATATAAAAGATCCCTAGAGATCTTCTGATTGAAGATTAGTCTCACGGGGGAGCCTAGCTGGCTCAGTCAGTAGACATGGTCGGTAGACATGTAACTCGGATCTCAGGTTGTGCGTTTGAGCCCCATGTTGGGCACAGAGATTTAATAAAAAAAATTTTTAAAAAGGGGTGCCTGGGGACACCTGGGTGGCTCAGTCGGTTAAGTGTCTGCCTTTGGCTCAGGTTATGATCTCAGGGTCCTGGTATCGAGTCCCACATTGGGCTCCCTGCTCAGCGGGGAGCCTGCTTCTCCCTCTGCCTGCTGCACCCCCTGCTTGAGCGCGCTCTGACAAATCTTTAAAAAAATAATAAAATAAATAAAAAATAAAAACAGGTGCCTGAGTGGCTCAATCATCTGAGCATCCAACTCTTGATTTTGACTCAGGTCATGATCCTCAGGGTTGTGGGATGGAGCCCTGTGTTGGGCTCCATGCTCAGTGTTGAGTCAGCTTGGGATTCTCTCTCTCCCACTCCCTCTGCCTGCTGCTCCCCCAGCTCGTGCTCTCTCTCTCTCAAATAAATAAATCTTTTTAAATTAAAAAAAAAAAATAAGTTTCATGATGTCACAACTGTTTACAAAGTTTTTGCCTAAATTTACTGTTTTGTTCCCTAAGTGACAAATTGATGCTTAACTATGTACTTCTGCAAAGATCATGGCAAATAAGGCACCTCAGTCTGCCAAAAGATTAATTTCCATTCTCAATCTCCTCTTTCTTAAACACTTAAGAGACCCAGCTAATGGAGAGTAAAATGGAGAAGAACTGGGGCGCCTGGGTGGCTCAGTAGGTTAAGCATCTGCCTTCGGCTCACATCATGATCTCAGGGTCCTGGGATTGAGCCTCATATCCAGCTTCCTGCTCAGCAGGGAATCTGCTTTTTTTTCCCTCTTTCTCCCCAGCCCCCCCCCGCCCCTCCCCACTGCTTGTTGTTTCTCAAATAAATAAAATCTTTAAAAAAAAAAAAAGAAAAGAACTGCCCATGATAAAGGCTCTTTTAATAGTCCTTCAACAGCAGTGGGCTCTTGGATAATCAGTGTTTACTTTTAAAAAACTTGAACTCTTTTTTTGGACGGAGTACTATCAGGTATTTGTATTGTTTCTAATTACTAACATTCAGAGTAACATAAACAGTGAACTTGCAGCGGCATGAATTTGCTAATGTGCAATCAGTAGAGGCAAAAATCACCTCCCAATAAGTGACCTACCTAACGTGATAAAAGAGGTATGAGTGATACTTGTAATTGAACTTGACATGCTTGAGACAAAATGTGCCAGTTCCCAGCCACTATTCTAGGGCTCTAATTCATCTTTATTTCCTGAAACTCTTTCTTCCTAAAGTAGTATTAACTGCCTCCACCTCTACCACTTTCAATAGGACACTCCAAAGAGCAGTCCCTCTCAAAAATCTGGCTCCTCTATCCCTCACCAACCCTTACTGAACCTCCTCTTTTAAAAACTTAATTAAAACTCATCTGTGGGGGTGCCTGGATGGCTTAATCGGTTGAGCGTCTGCCTTTGGCTCAGGTCATGATCTCGGAGTCCTAGGATCAAGCCCCATGTTGGCTCCCTGCTCAGCGGGGAGTCTGCTTCTCCCTCTCCCTCTGCCCCTCCACCTGCTCCTTCTCTCTCTTGCACACTAATAAATAAACAAAACCTTAAAAAAAAAAACAAACACCTCATCTGTGGCCCTGGGTATTTTGTTTACCCTCTGAGCGTCTTTTTAAAAGGAAATAAATCAGTCAAGGTCAGTACAAACTTTCAAAACCCAAAGAATTTTTTTTCAGTTTTCATCATCTTCTACCGCTGAAATAAATGAAAATGCTGACCATTTCTTTATTCTAAAACTTTTTTCTTGCTTCCATTTTCTACCTCTACCTTTTCTCAGCTGTCACTTAGTTTCCCTTTCTTCTGACCTTTTTTTTTTTTTTTTAAGATTTTATTTATTCATGAGAGACAGAGAGAGAGGAAGGCAGAAAGAGAAGCAGGCTCCCTGTGGAGTAGGGAGCCTGATGCAGGACTCGATCCCCCTGGGATCATGACCTGAGCTGAAGGCAGACGCTTAACCAACTGAGCCACCCAGGCACCCCTCTTCTGCCCATTCTTTAAGTTCTACCCTGTTCCTCCTCTTTTTCCACTTTTCCCCGGCTCTCTTATTAGCTCACACGGTTATGACTTTTTTTTTCTTTTGGTATGCTGACGATACTCAATAGCTCTCTCTCTCCTCTCTAATTCCATATGGGTATTTGTTACATTTTTCTTTTTTTTTTTTTTTTTAAGAGAGGGAGGAGGGTGAGGGGAGGGGCAGGGAGAGGGAAGAGAGAGAATCTCAAGCAGGCTCCATGCCCAGCATGGAGCCTGACGCAGGGCTTGATCTCACAATCCTGAGATTATGACCTGAGCTGAAATCAAGAGCGGAACGCTCAATCGAATGAACCACCCAGGCACCCGTGTTTTCCTTTCTATTTAGTATTAAGTGTCTGACATGTGCCAGGCACAATGTATAATGTTTTGGTGAGGAGTAACAGGTAGTCTTGACCTAGGATAGGCTTACAGTGGTACAGAAAATGGGACAGATGAACAGGTAATTATAATATAGTGCTTGGTATAACAGAGATATGCAAAGGATGTATACATAGGATAGCTCTGCTACATGTGTTCATGACCATCTCAAAATCAATTCCATGTAAACCTGTCAACCACACAAGGACATTCCTTCTTCCTCATAGGTTCCCTATCCTGGTTAACAACCATTGATCCAAGACAGAGATGTCAAAAAAGTCCTTGACTCATTTTCTCATTCTCCCCTGGAACACTAATGGATTTTAGTTCCAAAACATACCCCAATCTTATTTTTTCTTTGCCATCCTTCATGTCACTGACTCGTGAGTACTTCATTCTCTTTCAACTTTGCTAAAACATGGAGGGGCAGGTGGAGGGGCAGAGGGAGAAGCAGACCTTTTCTAGACTCTCTCTAGTCATTATCAAAGTCCTGTAGCTAATATCTAAAATTTAGATCTGATCATATATCCCACCCCTTCCTCAAAACCTTTGACTGCTCCTGACTGAAAATAGAATAAAATTCAAACTCTCTATATCATTAGTCTTCAAAATATGGAGGCAATCTATCATTCTAGTCTTATCTCCTTCTATCAAACCATACCAGAAACGCACCAAATATGTCATGCATTTTTATGCTTTCAAGCCTTTGCTCACATTGTTTGCTAATCTAGGAATATGTCTTCACTTCCCCATGTAGTCCTTCTCCCTCACCAGCAATCTTATGGTACAATCAAATATCCAAACTCCCCCCTTCCCTTCTGCAATATTCACTATTTCTCTCTAGGGCTGCTAAGGCTTTTGTTTGCTTTTTAATTCTATCACAAAATTATAGCATTTATCACACAGTAAAATAATATCATACCTCTTCCCTGCTCCACTGTATTGGTTGATCATTCATTCCAGAAACAATTACTAAGTACAAACCACTATAGTAAATGCTGGGAATACAATGAGCACAGACAGTCCCTGCGAACTATTTGTGGACTGGGATCTTGGATTTTATTCATATTATCTTTATATCCTTGTTTACTAGCAGCACTAAATAATTTTGGTTGAATAATACTCTTTAATCAGTGTTTAACTGGTAGGAGGACAAATGACAAATCTGCTATACTACATGCATGTGACTTGGGGATATGGATATGGATGGCAACTAGAATAAAGAGACTCAAAAAGACCTACCGTTGAGTGTGCCTCCCTGACTCTTCATCAAGTTCCCAACTGTCAAGCTCAAAACCAGTTAACATCGAGTCAGAAAATATACCTGAGATTCCCTTTGGACCAAAACACTCTCTTATCACTTCCTTCCTAATACCCATCATTTTTGTTGCTCAACCAGTGAGCAAATGAGTACAGCTTTAGGGAATCTTAAGGGGGATACTTAAGTCATCTTGCTAAATATAAAGAGATAATAGTTATTAGTTTCTACTGCCAATTATATGGCCAACATGGTACTAAAAAGCTTTATATGCATTATTTCTAATATTCACACAAACTTTGACAGATAGATATTGACTTCATATGACAAACAAACAGAGGCTTAGACCGGTTCAATAACCTGCTTAAGTTCACAGATAAAACTGTAGGTGCCTCTGTCCTTTTCTGGAATGCAGCTCTTCTCCTTGGTGTCCTTATCTCCATTCTCTCCCCATTCTAATCCACTCTTTATGTTAGATACCAGTTGTATCTGTCTAAAACACAGATAAGATTACTCTCTATTCAGAAAAAGACAAAATAGGAAGGAAGAGAATCAAGTCTCAAAGATGCTGTAACAGGCCAATTCCTCTCGGTTTGTAACCCTTTAAAATCAAACAGCGTACAAAGAAGTTTTTTTTTTTTTTTAATAACACTATATTAATCTCAGCTTTTTCTTTTTTCCTTGGCTCAGATGTTTGTTTCCCTGCACTGGTTTTCACATGAATTTCTCACAGCCTAGCCCTGGGAAGGGTGGAACAAATCTAACAAAACTCAATGGAAAATCATCCCTTCTTTATAAAAATAAATTCCTTTCCACCACTACTAATTGCTAAACAATAGATGTGTCTTTGTTGAAGTCTAACGCTGAATTTGGAGGCTGTTTCTTTGAATTATTCTAGTGAGCTAAGAGAACCATATTAATTTAAGCCTTCTGAATAATTTCAGCTTCGCTTAAAAAACCAGAAACAAAAGAAAACAAAACAATCGTCTTGGGCCTACAGCACTTAAAAGCAAGAAAAACCAACTTATCTAAAAGTCATCATCAGGCAAATTTTAACCTGCAATGCCTGTGACAATTTACTTCAACGATAAAGTGATTCTTTTAGTTCAATTCCAGATAAACTAAAAAGGATAACTTAATTATAGGAATATAGAAATTTGTAAGATAGAAGGGTTTACTTTTTTAAAAAGACTTTAAAGTTTTAATCTTGTTACACTGTGGTTAAATATACATTACTATTTTAGCCATTTTTAAGTGTACAGTTTTGTGGCATTGAGTACATTCACACTATTGTGCAACTATCACCATCGACCTCTAGAACTCTTTATCTTCCCCAACTGAAATTTCCTATCCATTAAACACTAACTCCAATTCCTCCAGGCAACCAACACACTGTTCTTTCTCTATGAATTTGACTATTCCACGTACTTCATAAAAGTAGGGGAATCACACAATATTTGTCCTTTTGTGGCTGGCTTATTTCATTTGGTACAATGTCTTCAAAGTTCACCTAAGTTATAGCATGTGTCTGAATTTCCTCTTTAAGGCCGAGTAATAGTCTATGGAATATACGTACTAAATTTTGTTTATCCATTCATTGGACAATACAAATTGTTTTTTCTTAAACATTTATTGGGGGGGGGTATGTTGGGCTCCATCCCAAAACCCTGAGATCATGACCTGAGTCGAAATCAAGATTAAGATGCCCAACTGACTGAGCCACCCAGGCGCCCTGGTTAATACAAGTTTTTAAAGTCCGACTGTAACATGATATGATCTTTAGGGTAAAACTCACAAAATTAGTAAAGGGCCCAAAGAAGACAACTAGTATTTCCAGAGTTACTTCTCACTTTGTCATAATAAAGCTTTATTAAAGTTAATAGTCTGGTACAATATTAAAAAAATGAACTCCTTGGTCCTTCTGGATGTGACTTAACCGATGTTGTAGCTTCAGTTTTCTCATATGTGAAATGAATGAACATTTTCTATTCTTTTGTGATTGGGAGTAATCAGGAGGGGGGGGATGCCAGGTGCTGTCCAATTCTAATCCATGATGTAAGCATAATTAGTTCCATTTCCGCAAATGAAGAAACAGAGTCTCAAGAGGTAGTAGTAGCTCACCTTCAGTCATATAGAAGTACAGGACTTGGGATATCTATAAATTTCTGATTCCAATGTTCACACTCACTCCCCTATATCTTGAAAGGTACAAGAGGTTAAGAAGAGGGGAAGAAATGCACATAAAACAATTCATTTAACTCTGAGTTAATTATTTGAATGCAGTACTGTTGACAGCTAAAAATAAATAAATAAACAAACCATGTAGGTGATTTCCCCATGTTCCTGTGGATATTTCAGGAAACACCACTTTAATTTTTTTCCAGAACTCAAGGTATGCTGACTTTATGCCACCTCAACACAGTAACTCCAAAACTAAATATTTAAATTATTTGGATGCCATTTCCACACTAGAAACCTACCTCTGGGAACAATGAAAGTTAGCTCATTCACAAAGTCAGATTATATGTATGACCTCCCTAGTACAGATTTGAAAAAAAAAAAAAAAATGTTTTTTCTTTTTCTGGAACAGATTCCTAAAGCATAATGATTTACATTAGTGTTTTGTAAATCTAAAATATGAATATTTTTAAAAATTTATTTGAGAGAGATAGACAGCGACAGAGATAGCGAGAGAGTGCATAAGCGGGGAGGAGAGGGAGAAGCAGGCTCCCTCTGAGCAGGAAGCCCAAGCAGGGAGCCTGACGTGGGGCTGGATCCCAGGACCCTGGGATCATGCCCCAAGCCAAAGGCAGATGCCCAGTCGTCTGAGCCACGAAAGCACCCCTAAAAATGTGAATATTTTTAAGCAACACAGGATTGTCCAAGGACTCTCCCTCATTTTAGGAAATTAGTCAATATAGTTCCTTCTCATCCACAGTGAAGAAAATGAATCTATTCCACTTAGAATATCAACCTGTCTACACTTCAATATGAAATGTTTATATTATTCATTTCTCCTTAAACTATGTGAATTTAATGCCAAACAAGCAAATTATCTGACAGATGATCAAAGCCTAAGAGAAATACATTAAATATGGCTTCTCTTTTCTATAACCCTCACCATCCCCCTTTTTAAAAGATTTTATTTATTTGGAAGAGAGAACACAAGTGGTGGGGAAGGGCAGGGCAGAGGGAGAAGCAGACTCCCCGCTGAGCAGGAAGCCTGACTTGGGACTGGATCCCAGGACCCTGAGATCAGGACCAGAGTCGAAGGCAGATGCCCAACGAACTTAGTCACGCAGGCACCCCCTCTTCTATAACCTCTTTTTTATTTTCAGGGAGAAGTGTGTAGGCAAACCACAAATGTTTGGCAGATCCACACCTGTTTTCTGCACCTTCTGATATAAGGTAACCAGAATTACACAAGGGTGGTGGGACATGGGACAAGTGTGTTGAACAGGGGCTGGGCAAACAATAAACATTTCTTACACATCTTCATTCACAGCACTGGAATAGGCACTGTGTGAGAATATTAAAAAATGCACAAATATTAAGTTCCACAGATGTTTTTAAACCTCTGAAAAGATTGTTTCTCACAACCAAAAGCAAAAAATTAAGATTTGTTCCTGCTAGGGAATAATTTTTGTAAAGAAATATTGGCTTTTGAGGGGCGCCTGGGTGGCTCAGTCGTCTACCTTTGGCTCAGGTCATGATCCCAGGGTCCTGGGATTCAGCCCTGCATTGGGCTCCCTGCTCCATGGGAAGCCTGCTTCTCCCTCCCCCACTCCTGCTGTCCTGCATTCGCTATCTCTCTCTGTCAAATAAATAAAATCTTCAAAAAAAAAAAAGAAAAGAAAAAGAAATATTAGCTTTTGAGGTTAGAGAGAGTTCAGATTTTTCAATTCACAGAGAATTCAACAGGTAACTATGATAAGGATATAACCATTTCTCTTCTATAGATATATCAGAGGTCTATTCATAGAAAATCGTGTGTCACAGAAAAAGAGATTTACATGACATGTTCCTACTCTTACATTGCCAGAATCCGTTTATCAGCATACTTCAAGGGTGTAAAAGAGTTTATTACCTCTACAATAAAAATATTAAAATGATTAACTCATGGCTCTCCCCAGTAGTATTATACAAATGCCCAACATTTAATCCAATTTAGCCTTGCATACTGTCTCTTAATACCCATGATGATACTTAAAATATGCTTCCAAAGAAAGATTCTGCACATCAATTCCTTTTTCTTATACAAGGGCCATCTTCAAAAAAAGGAAAACAAGATTATAACCACAGGTTGTTGGTTTTAATTACCAAAATGTATAAATAAGGGAACATATAATAAATTTTATATATCATATATAAAATAATTTAATGTATATTTATAATTTTGTATAATATAAATATTACATATGAAATATAAAATAATGTTATATATTTATAATTATTTTATATAATATAAATATTATAAAATATACATTTTGTATACATATAAAATATATATCAAATAATTTTTATATTATATATAATAAATTTTATATATACACAAAATAAATCTTTAAAATAGTCAAATTATTGTTAATCTTTACAGTTAATAACATTTTGTTAAAGTTATCACAGGCACTAGTTTGCTAATGTACCTAAAGAAATAACAGATTTTAGCACGGAGAAAAATGTATTCCCACAAAGATTAATGGATTCCAAGGAGTAGTGATTTGTAACATAAAAAGCTGATGCAACCTTAATTGGAGATATGTAACAACCATGCATGAACTCTTATGAGAGATGTGGACCTCCCAATCTGGCAGCACAGCCATACAATTAAGAAGATACACCTCCTGCTTTAAAGGCATGGTCATATATACTATTTAATATCAGGTATGAGCTTAAAAATAAGAGCTTTAGTTTTACTGTTTAGTGATCCACAAAAAAAGGAATTTGGGGGCAAAGTCAGGCCTGATAAAACTCTACTATGCTGGAAAGAACAATCTTCAAGAGTCTCACTGATCTACCTCAGAGATACTGGTTGCTTTGAAAAGAGGGAAACCTCCAGGCTAAATTCTATACACTAAAGTGTTCGTCGTGACTTGCAAACTGCCATATTTGTTCAGTTTTTCTATAGGAAGAGAAACAAAGCTGTTAGCGTCAACAAGAGTGGTTATAAGTTTAAATGTATATCCAGTATTGTTTTGACTTAAAAGTTTTCTAAAGAATCAAGATCTCTCAGAAACAACACAGAACAGGAGGTGCGGGGTGGGGGATGGACCAGGTAACCAATTTATGTAAAAAAGAAACAACTTTTAAGTTGATACCCACTGACTTTGAGTCCTTGGCCTTGGAGTTTCTTTGGGATCTAACTATGGAAAACCAATAAAACAAGGCAGTTGCATACAAAGCACCCAAATGTCAGCCAAACCCTTCTTTATGTATGTTGGTTAAATCAGCACTTCTTCGATATTTGAGTTCCAACTCCATGAAAGATTATTTATGAGTTCATTTATTCCACATGCTTGAGAAATCTAATCATACCTGATTATACTGAAAACTACAAAGATATTATGGGTAGCCTATGTCAGAACTTCAGCACACCACTGTCTGTAAAGACACTCAACAGTAGCACTGATTTAAACTAATTATTTTCGGAAGCCTGTACTCAATGATCACTTGTTAAAACAATCACTGTGAAATGATGAGACCTTCAAAGTAGGTTACACATTAGCTGGAAACATGCTCAATAACAATGACTTCTTAAAAAGAATGTGGGCTGTAAAGTTTAGCTGGAAATGTACGCAATAAAAGAAAATGACTTCTAAAGAATCTGGGCTGTAAAGTTGAGATATATTTGGAGAAACTCATGTCTCTTCATGTAGGTAATGTGCACAATACACTTCTTTCAATATGTAATGTAAAAGGTAGGAAACAGGTGTCTTCACTTTTATAGTGTCCCACTAAATTACCATTTAACCCAAATTAAGCATGTGTAAACTGCTAATAAAATACTACGCCAATAAGACCAAAATGCACAGAGTTGGTAGGTTAACTATCCAAACATATACCTTAACACCAATGACATAAGTTAATCAACTGTAAACTGAGTTATAAGATTGAAACAATGAAAAGAAGTGCACTACAACACAGCAGTTCAATTTTAATTAGTAATTTGAGTTAATTTGTATTAACTCAAAATTAATTTGGACATGTGAATTTTAAATGTTACTAGTAAATACAAATCAATCATGGATGCAAATATAATGCAATCTGAGGTCTATAAAGAACATAATGCTCTCCCATATTCATTTTCAGTTTTTGTAAGTAAACTCTACTTAAAAACCTTCAATATATATAAAATAGCACCCTATACATGTTGAATTAAGGCCAACAGGTCCTTCGTCTAAAAAAAAAGTTAAATGTATACTTCCTTGGCATCTAAGCTTTTTTTCAACTTTTCTAACATCAGTTTAATGTGATAAACACAGTGCAATTCACCCTCCATTGTTTTCTTTTTAAATAAACAAAGCAGCTGGAAACACATTTACTACACTATTCCAGTCACATGTACATGAACACAGGTGTTTATATGGATGAAAAAATATCAAATGAACGGTGAAAACCTGCCCCTGACAGTTTTCCCCCCAACTAATGAAAACCACAAAAGCCAAAAGATTTCAAATTCAAGTTGGAACACGATTTTAAACTAAGCACTAGTAGCATGATCACTTAATACGGTCTTCTAGGACATTTGCTTCCATGATAAAGTAATCCCCGAGAAAGCTTAAATACGGAGATGCCTGTAAAAACAGGTGCAGATGCTAACAGTCATTAGAACAGTAGCGACCAAAGTAGTACTAGGCAATGGACAGCGAACTATTGCAAGTCTGGGATTATCCTCTGGCTCAACACCAACCCTGAAGGTTGCTGAGAATCAAGACATAGCAATGAGGTATTGAGAGCAGATACTTAAAGGACATGGGGAGAGTGAGACACTTTAACTGCAGGTGGGGAAAATGAGACAGAAGGATCAGTACAAGTTGGCAGGCCAGCAATAAAAGAAAGCAAGTCTTTCAAATTTGGCTCAGCCCAGGAAGCTAGCTTGAGGCCCAAGCCAGCTGAAGTCACAAATACAGGCCCAGCTGGCAATGGGGAGAAACTGAGGCCAGATTCCCAAATAGGACCTGGCCCCAAACATTAAAGTCAAGAGACAATCCGGCTTTGCCTGGGCGTTAGAGGGACTGCCGCCAGCGCAGGACTCGGTAGACAGACACCCACCCAAACAGGGGGAACCGGTTTGGGCAGGGGCTGCGAGAGCGTTCCCGCCTGCGCATGCGCCCTCTCCCCTCCGCCACAGCTCCCCCTCCCCCCAATCACGGCTCCCCTCAGAACCCGGCTCGTCGAGGGAGGTGAGCGCAGTCTGGCCGGCCCAGCCCCGCGGGATAAAAACACAGCCTGGCCCCGAGCAGGGGCTGTCACAGGATCCCCCGGGGCTTGATGGATAGGATGGTGGGAGGAGGAGGAGGGGAAACGCGGCCCTACCCGACCCGCCGTCTCCTCCTCCGCCGCCCGCCGTTCGCCGTCCCGGAGGCTCCGCCGCCTGGGCCTCCCCAGCCGCCCTGCCCCCGCCCTCCCCGCCCCCTACTCACGTGAGAGTAGCTTCTTCCGCCCTCCGCCCCGCCTCCCGCCCTATT